TATGTGGGATGAACCCCCCTACCCACTCGCCCCCCCCCCCCAAAAAAAATGAGGCACTTCTCTGGATAACTTACAGGCTCAGCTTTTTGCCTCTTGCCTCTTGTATTCTCAAACGATTAACATTTTTTTGCTTTGCACATCATGAATATTCTATACTTGAGCTGTTACTGAGTTGTGCTAGATCAGATAAATAACATGGTGTTGCTTTTATGGCAGACTGGATAAAGATGCAAATAATACTGACATTTACTTCACAGTTTTCTTTCTGTGATCCTCTGAGTGAGTAAACTGGATTGCTGAGATATTCATGGGAAGGAAATGAAGAAGGGTTGTCAAGATGAAAGCAAATTTCCTTAAAACTTAGCCAGAAGGTTCTTGGCAATTTTTTTCTGTTATTTGCTCAGCTGAATAGGAGCTGCTTGAAAATATATTTTGCACAACCGCAAAAGGAAAACTCTTGTTCCCGTGGCACCGCTGACTGTTTTTTTGCACGCTCCCTCCCTGAAAAGCTGACGACTTTCCAGCGTTCGGCGTCTCTGCAGAGTTTCTGGTCCCACCGTGGCGGCCGTGACCGGAATGAGCCCTCGCTGCCTGCCCTGCCCGCGCTGTTTCCCGTAACCCGCGTGTGCTCGGCTGCGCGGATCCCTGAGGAGGAGGGCCGGGGTCAGCTTTGCTGTCGGGTGGGGAACGGAGACGTGGCGGGATGCTGAGCCCTGCCAAGGCTGACCAGGGAGAGCGGGACGGGGCGAGCGTCCTTCTTGATGGTTCTTTTTGGAGGCCGTGGACGTAGATCGCTTCTGGCTGGACTTGTGGGTACCAGGGCACGGCCCTGGGCTGGCAGTGACGGGGCTGCTGCTGAGGGGTGCTGAGCGTCCCGGTGTTCCCCGAGCGAGGCCGCCGCTCCCCGGTGCCCATCTGGCCGCGGCGCCCGGAGCGATACCCAGCGAAGGGTGAGCGCGGTGGAGGAGAAGGCAGGAGGCTGAGGGGGCCCCGCGTTGTGTCCGACCCCTGCGGCGGCAGTGTCTGAGCGTGAGGGGAGCGGACATGCTGGGGGCGGCTGGGCAGAGGGGCCACGTCTCTGTAGGGCTGACCGTTCGCTCCAGATTCCTTTCGGGGGTGAGAGAGGGGAGCGGGACTGCGGCAATGAGATCCCGCTGCCGCGTCCCCGCCGCTGTCCCCGCCCGTCCCCCGCCGCGTCTCGGCTCTGCGGGGCCGGGTCCGCCCCGTCGCGGGTCCCGCTGAGGGGAGATACGGCGTGAGGGGGCGTCTTTGGGCCGCCAGGGGGCGCCGTCCCCCTTCGTAAGGGCGCGCGCGGCGGGCGGGGGCGTGGCCGAGGCGGGGAGCGGCGCGGGGATTGGTGAGGCTGCGGCGGGGGCGTGGCCAGGCGGGCGCGGGGATTGGTGGGGCGGCGGCGGGGGCGGGGCCCGGCGGCGGCGGGGGCCGGCGGCGGCGTGGCCGCGCGCGCCACTCGCGGCGGCGATGTGACCCGGGCGGGCGGGCAGCGGCACCGGCACTGCCACCGGCCCGTCCCGTCCGCGGCCCCGGCCCGCCCTGCCCCGGAGCCGCCCGGCCCGCGGACTCACCCCCCATGCCCGCTCACGGCCGCCCGCCGGTAGCGGCTGACGCCTGCGGGGCCCGAGGAGGCGATGGCTGCGGATCTGGTGGTGCTGCTCTGCCTGGCCGCCGCCGCGGCCGCCGTGGAAGGTGAGCGGCGACCGGGACTACCGGGAGCGGGTGGGATGCTGAGCCGAGGGTCCCCGCGCCACCCGCGGCGTCTGCAGCTGGGGAGCAGGCGAGGAGCGACTCCCCCGCCGTAAGGCACCGGCACGGGGCTGGGATCCCGGCCCGGTGGCCCCGGCCTCTTGTGCCAGCCCGGGTTACCTGACCCGCGGGCGGTGCTGGCAGCCCGTGCCCTCGGGAGGGGGCCGGGGCTGGAGGAGGGAACCCGCCCTCATCCCCTCCCCTTCCCTGCGGAGCCCAGCACGGGGCCGCGGTGGGGTCACCTCCGAGGTCCCCTCTGATCCCCGGGACCGAGGTAGGGCCATTTTCGGAGCCCCGTCTAGGTCCCCTCTGGTCCCCGGGGCCGTGGTGGGGCCGCCTCCGGGGGCCGTGGCGGTTCGCGGAGCCGCCTCTGCCAACCCTCCTCCTCCCAGCCCCGGCGGAGGATGGATGCGCCAGGAGCCGTGGGCAGGTGGTCTCTGTTTCTGGGGATGAACTGAGCCGGGGGACGCTTGGTCGGGCCATGGTGCCACGGAGCAGGTGCGTGCTCGTCCTCTCAGCACGGTTCGTGCCAGTGGGCTGGGATCTTTTCCCCGTCTCCCGCTTGGTCGTGGAATTGGCTGGGCAGCGGGAAGATGCCTGCAGCCGAGACCCGGGCTCCGGGCGGTGGGCCTGGTGGGACAGCCAGCTCACCCCAGCCTTGGTGCTGTGTCGCTGCTCCGTGCCCGGCATGGATCCTGAAGTATTGCTTCGATTATTTTTTCTCTTTATTTTGCCGCTGCCACCTTTCTTGGCGGTACAGCAGCAGCTCGTGGCAGGGGCTGCCGAGCGCTGGAGCGGTGGCTGCGCGCAGGGGATGAGGTGCAGCCCCTCGGTTGTGAGCAGCGAGAGGCGCGCAGGTGGGGGAGATGATGCTCAGGGTTAGTCGTGGGGCTGGCCCTCCTCGGTGGGTTTTCATATGAGTACGGTTGTGGCTGAACTGGAAGCTGTCAGAGATGGCAGGAGACTGGCTCAGCTTCGGGCAGCGAGGAGCTGGTTCAGGAGCTGGAATGCTGCTCCGGTGGGATTTGGCCGCAGCTCCGCTCTGCTCTCAAGCACGGCTGCTGGATCGTGGCGGGCAGGCCCGCTTGATGCAGCATCCCCTTTCCGCTGGCTTTTGGCTGACACGCGTGTTTGCTTTTCGTATTTCTTGGGCTGCCTCATGACATCTCTGTAGGAATACCTGGAGGTGGGAGTGCTGGTGCCACGCGTGATGCACCGAGCGCGCGTTTGCTCGGTGGCGAAGCCGCGCACGAAAAGACGAGACCTGTTAGCAGCGCTTCGCTCGCCGGCGTTTGCAGCGTCAGCGGCTTGAGGCACTGCTGGAATTGCGGCTGGATGGGAGACTTCGGCTCCCTTCTGGTCTGAAGGCACTCCTGGGTGTCACTCAGGGTGTTCCCCAGCTCTCCCCCGGAGCGCTGGCAGAGTCGGTGTCCCTGCCCAGGACCGAACCTGTTGAGGAGTGGTGATAATTTCTACTCTGCTGAGGAAGTTGCTTGGATAGTAAAGTAGTATCGTAGGAGAGATTTCAGGTTTCAGGGGAAATTTTGGATGGGGAATTTCTGAGGTAGAGCAATCAAATCTGATTTGGAGTCAAGGTGAGAGTCTGATTATGTGGTCATATAAAGAAAATGCCTTTTTATGTGGTTTATTTAAATCTTACTGAATCTTTTGATACAGAGGTTGAATTTGCTAGATTGAAACATGGTTTTCTCTAATGGATCTGGAGCATCTCCTAGGACCTGCCTTGCCCTGGGGTCTGGCTTTTCCCCTGGAACATCAGCGAGGCTGGATTAATCGGCAGCCCTCTGACAGCACGGCAAAGCCACTGCTGGCGCTTTGCTCTGCCCTGGGCTGCAGGAGCAGCTGAGCCAGGGATGGCTCCCTGCATCCCAAATCAGCCAACGAGACAAAAAGTCTTTTTTCCGTGATGTTGGGGGAGGCGTCTGGGGGCCTGGGCCCGGCTGGAGTGGGAGGAAGATGCAGCTGGGGTCAGGGTGCAGGCTGCCTCCAAACCACCCTCGTTATTCTCCATGAAACCTTGCTAACTCATTGCCTGCAGCACGCAGACCTGGATGTAATATAGTCACTTATCTGACTTTTTTAATGGTTCCTTAATTTTTTACTAAATCCTGTGGCTTAGCTGACCCCTTTTTGCTGTACACCTGTACGTTTGTAGTAATTTAATTTTTTTTTTTTTTGTGGCTTGTGAAGAGGAGGAAGGATGTGAGAAGATGACAGCACCAAATACTCTGTCTCTCCCACACCCTGCAATCACTCAGGAGCTGCTGGTGTGTTCTCTCTCTGTTAGCTGAACCAAATACAATCCACTTAGCATATAGAGAGGGTGGTAATGGACTGATGTTATGTGTTTTAACTCGGGTTGGAGCTGTTGGTAGGTCAGATGAGGCTGATGACCATTTTGGTGCAGCTTCTCCACGTACTCTGTTTCTCCTGCGTGGCCTGCTTGCATCTCCCTGCCTCGCACCTGCTCTTTTAAAATCCAGGTTTTTCTCTCTCTGCTTGCAGCATCACGATCAGCAGAGCACAGGAGGGAAGTGGAAAGCCCTGCTTGGGGCAGGTGAATCCAGCTTAGTTTTTCTTCCCCTGCTTATCCACCGGCTTCAGAACTGTCACCTGGGAGAGGAGCAGGGATGGGGTTTGACTGGAGATCGACATCCCTGGCTCCTGCTCCGTCCCTGGCTGCCCGCTCTCCTCCCTCTTGGCTCGGGATGCACACATCTGTTGCAGGCATGCTTCGGGCTTCCTGCGCTTCCGCCAGGCGCCGGAGCGGTGCCTGTGCCGAGCAGGCTGAGAGCCTCCCTTCCCTCAGCCCTGTGGGCTCCCAGCTCTTGCCCAGCTGCTCCGCCCCGAGCTCAGCCCTTCTCAAGGAGAAGCTAGAAATAAGTCCTCAGGAGGGAATTTGTAAGTGCAGATGGTAACCTTCATGGGAATTTGCAAGTGCTACTATTCAGCTGTCCGTTTACTCTTGCTTTCTTTGCTCAAACTAACTGAGGGGAAAAAAGAAAGCCCTAAGGGGAAAACCCTTATTCTTGGCATGGTGAGTGAATCCAGATCCTGTCAGCCTGAAGGGAAAGTGTTTTGTCAAGTCATAGAAAAGGGGCCTGACATTGCAGGTGCTTATGTTGCTATTTTTTATTTTTTATTTTTTGTTACTAATTCCTGGTAGCTCTGCTCATGGAGAAGGTGGGAATTGTGTTTTCCTGTTCTTTTGGATATTGGAGTGCTGCATGTTCTCCCATGTGTTAAGTGGTCCTGTCTATTGTGGCATGAGCTGTCAGAGGGTTTGCAAGGTGTCCTCTCACCCATCCTGGGTGAAGTTCCTGACACCACAATAGGACAGTATAAAACCCTTCCATTGGTCTTAGAAATCAGGAGAAAATAGGATGTTTGATGATGAAAGAGGCCAAAAATGTTTGTCTGGATCTGGATCCAGGCTACGGTGCTGAATAATAGATGTTTCTAGCAGAGATGGGTTCTGTAAGCTAAAGAAATGTTCAGATTTGATGAAAAAGGGGAAATGATGCTTTTGGGCAGTGGGTAACTCGATGCTAGTCAGGTCAGCAAAGTCTCGGAGACCCTGTCCTGGTGCAGTGGGAGTGGTGTGGGATGAGGCTGGTGGAAGTGGTGCTCAGAGCGAGGCTGAGGCTCTTGTGGTGTGTGTGCACTGCGCTGGCTGAGTCCAGCCAGCTTTCCCAGCTGTGGGTACCCTGAGCTCAGCACACATGGAAAGGGCATCCTGCAGGAACTCCCAAAACTGTGATGCTGTCCAAAGGTGGTGCTTTGCTCCCTCTAAACAGTGTTGGTATGAGGAGTCATTTAACAGCACAGCAAGGCTGGGTAAATACTTGGGGTTGTGGGAGGGAACGCTTCCCCCAAATATTCATTAAGATTTGAAAGCACATTTCAATTTGACCTTGTTCTGCTGCAAACAGAGCTCTCAAGGGTTGCACGCATCAATACTTGGCCAAGGCAAATATTAAGATTGGATGTTGGCTGGGTGCAATTTGGGAAGGCATCTTCTCAGCTGGAATGGTAGGAGGTTGGAATGAGTGTTGCTTACAGGCGTCCCAGGTTAGTGTGGGAGCAGAAGGGTGCAGAAGGGGATGGAGTGATGGCAGAGTAGTTGCAGGAGAGTGCTGTGGCCTTGGGTGGCCCCTGGACCCTGAGCTGGTTATTGCATTGTTCAGCTTTTAGGGGTAAACCCACAGTCATTCCAGAAGTGAGCAGCTTGAGAGGCTGCCTGGGAGTGTGCAGGGAAGGGAATGGGCGCAGAGTGGATGCAGACAGCAGGTAAAGACAGCACAGCCCTTTCCTTGGGGAAAGTGGGAGCAAATTCTTGCCCAGATTAGCTCCATGGCTTTGCAGATAAGTGGAGAGTGTGGACGGGCTCCCTCCTTCTCTGTAAATGTTGCTCACAGTCACAGCTGAGGTTTTGGAGCTCTTTTATTTTGGTGACCATCCATTTTCCCACCAAGTCACATCATGGGAAATAGTGAGAATAACAGGACATGTGTTTTGCAGGCACAAAAGGATCTGTGCTCTATTTATTTATTTCTCACAACTTTTGAATTATTAAAGTGCGTTCAGGGGAGATTAACTTTCCCTGCTCAGTATTTATTATTGTTTCATTTCCCTGAAAGTTGGAGCTACAAGAGCTTTGATGAATGGGCTGGAAGATTCTGTAGTTTCTCTATTGCTAATCTAAATATGTCCGTATCCTTTGCTGAAAAGCTAATTTGTAATTTCCTATGGTAATGCTGCTTAGTGAATTATAATGATACACCAGGGCCTGCTTTTCATCCCAGCCCTCTGTCAGGGGAATAAAGCTACCACTGGAAAACGGTGTGAAACCTGGAAACTGGCCATTAGTCCCCTAAATTTTTGGTCTAATAACAGGAATCCAGAAAGCCTGTGCACCATCT